GCGGGAGTGATAGGTCGAATTCTTCGCAAGATGGATTGCGCTTTGATTGTCACAACCCAGCTCGTACTTGTCTTGATCATGGCCGAGTTCCATGAGGAACTTCTTCATCCACAGCATCTCTTTGCTTGCCTCAGTAGCGGCAATGTACTCAGCCTCAGTTTTCGATAGTGCAACACATTTCTGAAGTCTTGATTGCCAAGAGACAGCTCCTCCGGCAAATCTCATCAAATATCCTGTAGTCGACTTCCTCGAGTTGGTATCTCCCCCTAAATCAGAATCCGAGTAGCCTTGCAACTCGGCTTTGCCTTCTCCAAATCGGAGACATAAGTTGGTTGTACCTCGGAGGTACTTGAAGATCCATTTCACTGCTTCCCAGTGCTCTTTGCCGGGGTTTGATAAATACCGGCTTACCATTCCAACAGCATACGCCAAGTCGGGTCTAGTGCAAACCATTGCATACATCAAGCTTCCGACGACGGATTGGTAAGGGACCTTCATCTCATCCTTATCTTCATCAGATCTCGGACATTGCTTCTGGTTCAGCTTTATGTGTCCGGCTAGGGGGTGCTCACTATTTTGGCTTTGTCCATGCTAAATCTCTTCAAAATCTTCTCAATATATTTCTCTTGACTCAGCCACAATAGCTTCTTTTGTCTATCTCGGATAATCTTTATTTCGAGAATCTGCTTTGCAGAGCCGAGGTCCTTCATTGCGAAGGACGAGCTCAACGCCTTTTTCAGGGCGGCTATCGTTGATTTATCTTTTCCTACAATAAGCATGTCGTCAACATATAACAACAAGATCAGAAAGTCTCCTGCCTCATACCTCTTCACAAATACGCAGTGGTCGACTTCAGTCTTCTCAAACTTATGATCAATCATGAATGATTCAAATTTCTTGTACCACTGCCGAGGTGCTTGCTTCAAGCCATAGAGGCTCTTCTTCAACCGACATACCAAGTCTTCTTGGTCTGGAGCTTGGAATCCTTCAGGTTGCTCCATATATATCTCTTCTTCTAAGTCACCGTGAAGAAATGCCGTCTTCACGTCCATTTGTTCTACCTCGAGGTCAATCGAGGCCGCCATGGCTAACACGGTTCGGACCGAGGTCATTTTCACCACAGGAGAAAAAATCTCCTCAAAATCAACTCCTTTCTTCTGATTGCAGCCTTTCACTACAATTCGGGCTTTGTATCTCGGCTTTTGCCCGTTCTCTTCCTTCTTAATCTTTTAGACCCATTTATTTTTCAGAGCTCGTCTTCCTTTTGGCAACTCAGTCAGCTCATAAGTCTGATTCTCGTGCAGAGACTCCATCTCGTCTTGCAATGCCTTTTCCCATTCTTCTTTCTCTGAGCTCATCACAGCCTCATCATAACTCTGAGGCTCACCGTCTTCAGCAACAACGGTGTATTCATCGGATGGATATCTTGTAGAGGGTCTTCTTTCTCGAGTTGGAAATCTCGGCTGTTCTTCAGCTTGAGAACTCGGTTCATCAATTTCATCCCGGATCTCATCCTCAACTCGGACCTGAATGTCTTGGTCATCTTCAGCTTGTTGCTGATCATTATTTTCTTCAATTTCTTGATTTTCTCCTCCTGCTTCAGCTCGGACAGGAGGGATGGGTTCTTCACGTCTGACAGTAACCCGGACTTTGGGCTTCGAGATGTCATGAATGTTCTCATGCTCATGAAAGATCACATCTCGGCTTCTCACTATCTTCTTATTGATTGGATCCCAAAGTCGGAACCCGAACTCACATCTCGGCGAACCAAGATAAATGCATTCTTTGGTCTTTGCATCAAGTTTGGCCCTTTCATCTTTAGGGATATGCACGAAAGCTCAGCATCCAAACACTTTCAATTGATTATAGGCCGTTTTCCGACCTGTCCAGACTTCTTCTGGAATTTCTCCTTCAAGTGGCCGTGATAGTGAGAGATTGGTCAAGTCAACAGCTGTTTTGACGGCTTCTCCCCAAAATGTTTTTGGTAACCCGACATTGGATATCATGCTTCGTACCTTCTCTTCAATTGTTCTGTTCATCCTCTCAGCCAGTCCATTTAACTGTGGAGTCTTGGGGGGCGTCTTCTCAAGTCGAATCCCGGCCACTCTGCAGTATGCATCAAATGGGCCGCAATACTCACCACCATTATCAGATCAGACCACCTTCAATTTCTTGTCAGTCTCCCTTTCAACCATAGCATGGAATTCTTTAAATGATTGGAGTACCTGGTCTTTAGACTTCAACAAATATACACACACTTTGCGGGAATGGTCATCAATAAATGAAACAAAGTACTGAGCTCCTCCAAGGGATCTTTCCGACATGGAGCAGACATCAGTATGGACGAGGTCAAGAATATACCTGCGTCATCTAGGTTGATCCGGTCTCACAAAAGAAACCCGGTGCTGCTTTCCAGCTAGGCAATGCGTGCAACTCTCCAACGCTTGGCCTTTCAACCCGGTCAGTAATCCTTTCTTGTTCAGGATCTGGAGCCCTTTCTCGCTCATGTGGCCGAGCCGCTTGTGCCATAGCTCCAAGCTAGGTTCATCTTGAACAGAATTGGCTTCTCCGCCATTGATCTTTCCTTGCATTACGTACAAGGAGCCTTCTTTCTTACCTCGGGCCACGACCAAGTTTCCCTTGGCCAGCTTCCATCTCACACTACCGAAGTAGTTCACTAACCCGGCATCGTCAAGCTTGCCTACCGAGATTAGGTTCAAACGCATGTCAGGAACATGCCTTACATCTTTCAACACAAGTCGGCATCCGACTTCTGTGGTCAGTTACATCACCGACACCAACAATCTTGCTAGTCACTTGATTTCCCATCTTCACGACTCCAAAATCACCACCTCGATAAGAGGAGAAAAAACTTTTGTGTGGAGTAACGTGGAAGGAGGCACCGGAGTCAACAATCCAGGTGCAGTCATCATATGCAACATTCAAATAATTATCCTCACCAAGGAGGAATATATCGGCATCAGGGTTGGCAGCCACCGTAGTGGTGCTCTTGTCTTCCCTCTTCTTGGGAACAATCTGATCCGGCTTCACAGAGCCGTTCTTCTCATCATTCTGCAGGGTCCAGCAGTCTGGCTTCTTATGGCCTGTCTTTCCACAGTAAAAGCACTTCAACTCATATTTCGGCTTTGACCGACCTCTGGACTTGTTCGTCTGTCACGACCTCTACCTCAGCTTTTGCTTCTACCGCGGGAGTCAGATTTCCCTTTGTTCTCAGCAACGTTGGCCTCAGACGTACTCGAAGTACCTCGTTCTCTTCTCCTGGATTCTTCGCCCAGGAGGCTGTCTGTCACGACATCCATCTTCAATTTTCCATCTGGAGTCGAGTTATTCAGGGTCACCACCAGAGTATCCCAGCTTTCTGGCAGCGAGCTCAACAGCAGCAATGCCTGCAATTCTTCATCAATTTTCATATCATCCTTTGACAGCTGATTCACAATACCTTTGTAGGTGTTCAGGTGTTCAATCATGCTCATGTCGTCCTTGTATTCAAGCTTAACAAGTCGGCGAACCAGGTGTGCTTTGTTCCTGGGAGTCTTCTTCTGAATCATGGACTCCAGCTTCGTCCACAACTCATACGCGTTCGTGAATTCGGACACGTGCTCAAAGAGGCTTTTATCAATATATTTCCTGATCGTGGCTACCGCCTTCCGACTCAGGATCTCCCACTCCTTATCAGTTTTGCCTGCCGGTCTCTCATCAAGGATAATGGGCTCATGTATCTTTACAGTAGAGATGATCTTCCATCATCGGTCTCCAATAAGTGAAGTTGTCTGCGGTCAACTTGAACATATCTCCATCATGAGTTATGCCACTGGTCTCCATCTCGTCTCCCTCAGAACCCGTCGAACTCGGGCTCTGATACCACTGTTGGGAACTCGGTTCCCTCAGATCGGCTCAGGAGCCTTTTTGCGGAAGTCAATCAACAAGATCCTGATCTCGGATCTCGGCAATACCTCGGCCTGAACTTCACCAGGTCAGGCAGCGCAGCGGAAAATCAAAACGAAAACAGGAGAGAGAGAAGAAGAACACAACCAGATTTAACGTGGGAAAACCTTCTTCAACGAAGAAGTAAAAACTCACGGGACCTAGTCCAGATCAAAAATCCACTATGAAAATAATGGTTACAAAGAATCAAATACACCAATGTGGTGGTTAACTCAACCTCTCCAACAATGGTGATAATCAAACTACCCTAGAGATGTTTCACTCGAACTCTCTCTAGAGATCTCTCAAATGCAAAACATAAAGCTTTGCTCAAACAATCAAATAATTCTCTCAAATCTGACCTAGCCTCCACCCACAACTAATTAGTATATATAGAGGAGGTGGAAATTAGGGTTAGGGTTTTTAGAAAACCCCTCAAATGGGCTTGGGCTTAGCATTGAAGGAAGAAGCCTAACAGAAATTGGATCGGCTAATTTTTGCTTTTAAAACTGATCCAATCCAGACCGCAAACATCCTTAATATAAATATAAGGAGTATTTCTATTTCTCCACTTCGATCTATTCCGCATCTAGTAAATTATAACTAACCAAAAGTAACAAAAGTCAACAGACATATTTAGATAAAATAAATGCGGCCTCCATTCTCACATGCGAAAGTGTTATATATATATATATTAAATTAGTACCGTAAGCATACACGTAAAATAAATAAAGAAATTTTCACCAAAAAAATAAATAAATAAAGAAATTGAAGCTGCAACTTAAACCCAAGAGTCATGACATCTAGCATGCACCCAGCAATTGACCCATGTCTATAAACAGAAGAATTTCACATCTACCAAATCTAGTGGCAATTAGAAGCAAAAGTCTAATGAGGAAAAAATTATCCTTCAAATTAAATTAAACATAAACCAATCAAAAGTTTAAAGTGGGAAATGGAATCCATTCTTTAACAAAAGTGGGTTGATCAATCTATACATTGGATGCACAATTACGATGAATATAAATAGAAACAAATAAAAATAAGCAAAAAAATATATTGAATGCTATATACTAATAAATATTATTATATCGTTTAATGAATTTAATAACATATGAGTTATTAAACTCATTAATGTGATAGAATAATACACGGTTAGATAAATTTTTGAATGTAACCCCAACTGCTTCCAACCCAGCCTTCATAATTGAAAATTGATATGAATAAATGAATGAATGATGAGTCAAATTTGAAACCGTGACGTTTCCATGCAGCTTCTTCTTCTTCTTCCCACGTGCGAATTCAATGCCTTCACATGGCCGCCACACGTGTATGCGCAAGGTTGAGTTACAGCATCAGCAACATTCACCGACTCGTTCGAATGATGTGGTTGTTCCTGCGAGACGGTTCAGCAACAGAACCGCCACCAAACTTCTTAGGGAATGCTTCTTCACATGTTTCGATGAAGGCTTCGACGATGACTTGGTGGTGACACTGAGGATTCAGTTGAAGAAAGCATTCGAGAAGCTCTTGAAGATCGATTTCTGAGAAGATCTCTCTCTCAAAGATCATTTGCAGCATCGAATAACGGAAATCGTTGTATGGATCCTTCGATTCCTTCTCAACGGCGATGCTGTCGACGAGTTTTGTCGTAGGTTTCGGTATACCATGATTCTTGTTGGTGGTGATGTTCTTGTTATGGTCGTGATGAGTGTCGGCTTCGGAGATGCTGGTGGAAGTGAAGTGTTCGTCGTCGTCGTCATCGTCGACGGAGAGGTCGCCGGAAGTGGTGGAGGGAGTGAGGCTGCTAGGGTTTTTGTTTTTGTAAATAGAGATTTTGGGTTTTGGGATTGGCTCGTATACCTCAGAGGGCTTTGGTTTGCTACAACCACATCCTAGGGTTCTCAATAGCCTTCTCTTGTTGGAAGACATTAAAAGTACTAATAATCAAGAGAGAGAGAGAGAGAGAGAGAGAAAGAAGGGGGGGGAAAGTGAGATTGTGAAATTGAAGAGAAAGGTGGGGTTGTGGATATGAGTTTCTTTTAGAAAATATTTGGTGAGAGAAAGGGTTTTTTTTTTTTGATATAAGAAAGGGTTTTGGTTTTATGAAAGGGAGTTTCTTCTTGCGGAAGATAGCCTCATGTATGTCACGATAAGATTATTCTTATCATGATAAGATTATTCTTTGACATCAGTGTCAAATTTAAAATTTGACAGACTCTGATTTGTAAGCATGTGACATCATTGATCTTTTTTATCTAACGGCTCTCAAGTGAGGTGTCAAACTTCAAATTTGACACTGGTGTCAAAGGATCCTATCTCATTATTTTAATGATTATATCTTTCATGTTTAATTTATTAATTACTTCCCTAATAATCAGGACCGTCCAATGATAACCATAGAACATAATTTTTTTAATCTTTAATTATAATATGTCAAATTGGTAACTAACTTCTCTTGTTTATAATATAACGTGACCTCAAATTAAAGGAGAAAAAAGAAACTTCTTTACTTAATAGAATTGGCTTCTGAGGCGTAAAACACAAACTCTTACTATTATATTATCATATATCGTTCTTTGAATCTTGAATTGCGTCTTCTTTTATCCATTTACTTCATCCAATAATATATTTTTTGAGAAAAATGCAGATAAGTTATCTGCATTTATTCTCAAAACAACGTCGTTTTTGTATTAAAATCTTAAAAAATTATAAATATAAAGACTATTATAACCTTGAAATAAATTAAAATTATAAAAATACCATGATTTCCGTCCCAAAACGACATCGTATTGACTTACTGCAGATAAGTTATCTGCAGTAGCAGAAAAATCGAACCTATATTTTTTTTCCCTATTTTTTTTGTTCAAAAGGTTTCGTTTTTACTTCGTCTTTACCCCCGGCGCACACAGATATTCAAATTAATAGTATAAAATGATTTTTTTTATATTTGTGTTAATATTTTAGATAAGAATAAGCCGTTTCGTTTCAAAGTAACCTATTTGAATTTAAACAACGAGCAACAGCTCAACTGATTTCTAGAAGTAAATCACCAGAAGTTTGATTGTACAATATATGATTTAATATGATCAAACCATATCTGTTAAAGATAAGAAAAGTAAAGCTATTTTTGTGGTATGGAAGAATGGAATAGGAAATTCAAAATTCAAACTCAACCCCAAATCAGGCGACCAACATTCTCTTACATGTTAAGCCTTTCATTTATTGCTGTGGTAGCAAACCTACAGAAACTCACTTGTAATAGAATCATTCGCCATCAAATTTCTTAGTATGTACGTTGATGGATCCGAGACAAACATTTACAAGCTACAACATGTCCACGGAAGCTCGTCTTGGGAACGTGTAAGTCTCATATATAAATTGTATTTCCTCAAAAAATTTACTTTGTTGATAAAGTTATGTCACTGATTAACTAAATATATTTTGATATATTTTAATTATAAAAAAATTGATTCAAAATTTAGTTATAATTAATTGGATTTGATGCAAATGATTAAATAAATCTGATCTCTTTGAATAATAATAAGTTAATTACTCTCATTTTTTAAATTTTAAATTAATTAAAATATCTATTATATTAATAAATTACGAGATGATTGTTTAATTTTTAATTTTTAAAATTTATGTTAATGATCATGTATATAATATTATTTATAACTAAAAGTAAAATTTTATTTTATGCACGGGTAATAAACTTGTCTTCATGTAATTATGTCCTTTTGCATATTTCAAGCTCATAAGAGAAGAACAAGTTAACTGAAAAGAAAGAGACCAAAGGGAGAACAAACTCGCTTACCAAAGAAAAAAAAGGGAGAACAAACTCGGCAGTTGGCAAAATTTAGAGCATACCTGCTCACTCCATTGTTGTTTCTTTGATGTCTTTCACTCTGTTATGCTCTGATTAGCGGCAACATTTAAAAAACCTGACTTGGGATGCAATCTGATTTTATACAGTAAATGGTTGCTATGTGTAACTATACAGCATGTATTTATCTTTTCAGCTGGAAATCTAAACTAATGAGACTGACAAAGTTGGTACCTTATTTCCAAGTAATCACCATATCATGTTTCATTATCAAAGCTGCTTCTAATAATATTTTCATTTCTTTCATCAGATGAATGTTGGGTTTTCACCCTAATGGGCATACATACATCGTTTCTATTGATTATGAAAATCACATTTGATATTCAACAATTTAGATCCACTAACTGTAAATTTTATGGTGTGGCTTTAATTTGTTGTGGAACAAAGCATAATTTATTAGTATGTAAAACATTGGTAAAAATCTTAAATTCTCCATTCTCACCTCTTTACTAGAATTGCAATGACTCATTAATTATTACTGGTTATAGTCTCTGATAATGCACCATCAAGAAAGACGAAAGAAAAGAAACGAGGACATGATACATCGTAAAAATAAAACCTCCACAGAAAGAATCCTAGATGAAACTTATCATTTAACTACAATGTGCTAGATTTCGCACATTGTAGCTTAAGGAAATGGATAGATTATAATAGCGTTAAGCGAGAGCCTCTACACATCGCGCTAAGTACTCAAGAAAGACTAATATAAACAAGGATGGATTCCACAAAGCTACAAGATTTATTATTATTTTATTTTTTTTGGAACTACAAGATCACTCACTGATTATGTAGTATTATGAGGCAGTTGAGTACCACTCCTAGCTCCTCAAACGAGCTTCTTGGAGAAACACAGAAAGAATCATGATGTAACCTTCAATCCAACCTCTTATACGTTCTCCGTGGAAAGAAACACCATTTATTAGATTCGTAACATATCTTGGTAAACATCAATCTCCAGCAAGGTTAGATGCTGAAGGCACTTCACTTGCGTTCGAAGGAGTTTGGGTTGGTGGTGGGCTCACATGAGTCAGACAATAATCTTCGTGAATTGTATCCAGATCATTCCATTCAACTTCGGCTGTAAAAGTATCAAGGATTATTCAAAATACAGAGACAGGATTTTTTAATTTTTTATTTCTTTTCTCAAAAAATCAAACTCCTAAAACCCTCCCCTCCTGGTGGGTGTGTGTTCATGAATTGTATCCAGATCATTCCATTTAACTTCTGCTGTAAATGTATCAACTATCAAGGATTTTTCAAAACGGAGACAGGATTTTCTTTTCTTTTCTCAAAATAATGAAACTCCTAAAACCCTCCTCTCCTGGTGTGTGTGTTCGTGAATTGTATCCAGGTCATTCCATTCAACTTCGGTTGTAAATGTATCAAGGATTACTCAAAATACAAAAACAGGATTTTTTTTTCTTAAAAAATGAAACTCCTAAAACCCTCCCCTCCTTTTGTTTGTTTGTTTTGTGTGTGTGAGCCTGTGCGTGCGTGCGCATGCATAAAGGTTAAAATGTCCAATGAGAGGATACGTTCCGTTCTCCACATGTCTGATATGTTAACATCAGCATCAGATAAAAGCCAGTAATCAGTATTGCTCTGCAAAAGAAAAAAAAAATCCTTTTATCAACAGACAATACTAAAAATTGGATGCATATAAATAAACACATGCACGGATTGATTTGGGTATATAATTTCGAAAGGTAACGCCAGACAACTTTTGGAACTTTCTTGCGATAAGATACCCTCTTCCTCTCAATTTGCAATAATTTGTGACTTCGTCTTGGGATTGCTAGTTGAAAATCCATAGAACAAGTATATCAAAAACTGTGGTCATACTTACATCAAAATCTGAAGGAACAATCTTCATGATCCCACTCACAAAGTCCGGCGAAGTAGGAAAATCTGAACTAGGCCTATGAACATCTTCCTGTATTTCTAGGTCCTTCCCTCTATCCTCTGAGACCACAGTTGATCCATGCCTATTAAACTCTGGACTGGATGGAAGATTAGGTGTCACGTCAACACCTTTAATCTCCTCAAACTTTTCTGCAAATTGACTAGGACAGGGAGAGGAGAAGAGATCAGGAGTGTAATATTTATTGCACTTTCCAAACATCCAAGCATCATTGACTTGAAGTCAAATGAGTTCAGACCCGCTAAAAAAGTAAGCATACCTAAGAAGGTGAACATCTATTGGGCCCATAGTGCTTCTCAGGACCATCCTGTATCTCCTCTGGGGATAATCAACAGCCTGATAGAACGTTTTGCATTGATAAAGATGAATGCAAAATTAATAACTTCTATGCAAACCTTCATAGCCTCTGAAATTACCTCATCAGGATCAGGGACCTCCAAAGTGGTGCAATGTGGAGATTTAATTGCTATCAAGGTTTCATTCTGACAAAAGAAAACGTTTTTAGGTAACAAACAAAATAAATTTATAATGTGAGATGCAAGGAACACATTGAATCACCATATAAAATACTTAATACTCAAAGATATTAACCTGAAAGCAGGGCAAGCTCTTTATATCTTCCTCAGTCACAAAAAGATACCTAAGTTGGAGGAAATAGGTTACAGAGAACCACATCAAATAAGTTATGAACATAAATATGTGGCAGTGACTCAAATCTAACCAAAGGTAAAAATAAATATTACTTTTGACTGTTTTCATCTTCCCTAAGACCCCTTAGTCTTTCTTCCATCTCTCTGCATTAGTTAGAAAACTTAAGCTAAGTTAACAGATAGGAAACAAGCATGCAATTATTCAATAAAGCAGAATCAGCAAATGACATTAAAACCTTATTTGTTCATCTAACTGGCTCTCCTCCATCGTAAGATTTTCAACTTCCGCCTGCAGATGAAAAAAAATATATTACTTTTGAAGTCGATATCAAATGAATTACATTATCTTGCAAGCATTCCCAGTCACCCATAGCAACGCAAATTACATGATAATTGAAATTCAAATCAGAGGGTCTGTCAACTATTTCAACAAAAATAAACATATCAGTTTCACCAGCCCTTCTCACATTTATGAAAAATTGAAAGTATTGCAAATTTGCAAGACAAACTAGAATTGATATGAAGCAAAGAAAGTTATCGTCGAGAAATCATAAAACCAAGAAAAAATAATGCAGTGAAAAAAGGAAAATCAATCAAGATCAAGAATTTTAAAGAAATCATCCCCGTGTAAATTCCAAGCAGCAAATTGAATAATTCCTTGCCTGGAAACTCGCAATACTATCATCAGCTTCCTCTGGTCTTGAAATATCCAGGTCCCTGACCAATCTCATGAGTTGGTAAAATAATTTCAACACTTACGATAACAATATATGACAGGAATGACAGGATTATAGAAAGCACTCCTACTTCCATTGAACTATGTTTTTGCTGTTCTTTTCTATAAGGCCAATCCCTTGAAGAACATTTGTTATATCATATATCCTCCTCTTTTGTACCTGCAGATAGAAAAGCACCTTCAAGTAATCAAACTTTACATCATAGAATCTTCAGACCAGACAGAAAAATATTTAACCTCTAATATATCAGCAGCTTTTCTCAAATCAAGAATACCATCCTTTGCTAGCTTGATCAAATTGATGAACCTCTTTGTCAACATACCTAAATTTTTTATTTTTTATTTGAAAAAAAGAAAGATATAGTAACTTAAAGAGTATAATTCATTTCTGCCAGTAAAGCACAGAAAGAAATGAATTACAATAAAATTCATGATTGACATCAAACTACTGAAGACATGGGGAATGCTTGCTACCTAAAGAGGTGTCATAACGACTTGGACCAGCAGGAGAGAGATTATTTCCTGAAGGAGACCCTGACAAATTTACAGAAAAAAATAAATCAAATATATCTAAATTATTTAAAAACCAAAATTGACAAGTAAGGATGGTCTACGTATACGTTAGTTGACAATAACCTAGTTGGCAACCAAAATATTGGTTTCCCGTTCTTTCAACACGTATCAAAACTATAAATATGGAAGCCTACTATACGAAGTCTGGAAGATATACTGACCCATATTTGAGCCTGGAATTTGAGGTTCAGATCCGTTGCATTTTGTAAGTCTGGAGGCTTTGCTTGACTTCCTCGTCTGCAAAGGACTATTAGCTGCTTCAGTGGAGGCAGGAGTCATTCTATCACCATAATCAGCTGTGTCACTCTTCCGCTTGAATTTCTGAAATAGATAATTTATTTGAGGAATAGAGTCGATGGAACTTGCAATGAACAGAAAAGAGGATATAACAGAGAAGTTATAACTGGAAACAGCTGCATTTTCATAAGCAATTCATGTACCATAATCATGTGATCATGATGGACAATTCTTAAATTATAATATCTACAAACGACAATGCATGCATAGCTCACAATACTTGGAAAGATGTCAATAGACCTAATGAAAGAGGAAGGTTGAAAAGAGAAGTGCAACTTCAAACAGCCCAACAGATGCAGGCCCATGTGTAGGAGAAAAGGAGCAGCCCATGGATGAAGAGGAGCAGCCCAAGCAAAGAAGAACTGAACCAATGCTGGTTTATTACAGAAAGAATAGAAATAGGGAAATTGTGTGACGTGTAATGAGTTGTAATAAACGGTTATGGAGAGAGAGTGAGAGGTGAAGTTTGTTATTGTTGTTATTGCTTTCAGTATTGCTTTGAGACGTTTATATGGAGTGGAGAGTAGGAGTGAGAGGGTATCGATTGATTTGTTAATTTTCTACAGGTGTAGAGGGGCTAGTGGAGTTATCTCCTTAGCAGGGAGCCTTGGCTCTTTTACTTTTCTGTTGCAAACCTTACTGTAATCGTTCCTTTTATTAATATACAAATTGTCTCCCTCTTAATTGATAGAAAGGGCTAAATTCCTATCAGAAAAAAGGCAGCATTCCACTGCATTTATAAGATTTGGCAGGTTATTCCTTCACAAAATTATATACCGAAGGCAATACATTGCTTAAGCACTCCAAAGACACCAAACCTCTAAGAGTGCACCTAGTGCAGGACAGCATCTTCCCTGTAGTACCGTGCTCTATAGGGTAGCAGCACTCCTCCAGAGGACTATGCTTTCAATGTATTGGTAGGCTGTTAAGTGTGGGACGCTCTATCAAGGCCACCCACCTTGGTAAGCAGTCCCTATTGAGAATATGATACAAGTAGCTTCGGGCTTGGGCTTTCTTCAAAGCATTACATAGTGCTCTCCCTTCCAAAGGCGCACTAGCATACTGCAATAAGCACCACCAAAGTATTATTCTTACTTGGGAGATAGGCATTCGGAATATAGATTTGAGAAGTGAGAAAAGGCGCAGTTGTGAAAGAGGCAACTTTTTGTGAAGGGGAAACCCTAGGGAGGAGAATTCCCTCCTTAGGTTCTTAGTTTGTGATTAAATAAACACCACCAAAGTATTATTCTTCCTTTCCTCTCACTGTAGTCCTCATCTCTCTCTAAAAACTCAGAAATAATTTCTTGGTTCGGAAAATATTCTCACTCTCCCTTATCACCTTAGGCACTGACTCACCCAACCTCTATCTCCTAGGCATGTGCTGCAAAGACAACAACATTGCAGAAGGCCTTTTGCTGCCACGTATTTAATGCCCAACAAAGAAGTCTCCTATATAAACAAAACCTAGCCTAGCACATTCTTACACAGCCAAGGGAGAGCCTCGTGGCGGGGAGACCACCCACCATCAATGGGTTAAACAATTATCAACCACAAAAAGTGAACCCAACGACATGTCTTTAACAAAAACCTTAAGGCATTGATAGAGGAAAAAGGGTTTTTGAAGAGACAAATGGAAATAGGATATCTAATACATAACCTTTTTCTTCTTCTCAGGGCAATAGATAAGTCATCAAGGTCAATCTCACAATTATTTAAAGGAATATTCAAAAGACCATGTTCAAGGTTATGATGAACAATATGTTCAATACTTACCGTAGGCTTAAATGAATGAAGTTGCTACTGAACGAATTTGGGTTTTTCCCCCCATTTGATACAATAGTTGTGGGGGACCAGCCTTGCCTTAGCTGGCTCAGGAGCTGATTCAAGTGAGCCACCACAAGGCCCTAGTTCCTAGATATTAGCTGGGTTAGACCGTAGAGGGAAAGGCAACTCGGGAATGACTCAACTTCAACAGTGAACTCAAGAACACTCCATTCCCCTGGAGATGAGGATGAGGAAAATATGACACGTCTTTATGAAAAGTGACATTCCATGGAAATAAAGAAGCAATAACTCAAAGGGTCCTAGCATTTATATTCCTTTTTGTCAGGAGTATAACTTAGCAAGACACACTTAACACTCTGAGAATCAAGCTTATTGCGGTGTTAGCGCTGCATATGGAAAAAGGCCATACAACCAAAGACAAAATACTAAAGACTCTGCATGAGAGGAATGAAAAGAAAGAAGTCATAAGATGATCAGGACCAACATTACGAAGTACTTGAGAGACGATAGTCGATTTATCAAGGAAGCAGCAATTAAGACAATGTTCACCCAATTCGTATTCAGTTCTTGGTTTTGGAATAAAGGTATGAAGAGATAGCCAGGACTCACGAATTTCTAGGGGTTGGGAGAGTTAATCCTCTATATTTCTTTTCTTTTCCATCCTCCCTCGTGATTCTGCAATCACCTTAAATCAGAATTAGGGAGAAGAGTGATGTTCAACAAAAGTTCATTTCTTTCCATTTGTTCTCTACTTTTTATGGTTCAATTTCCATTTGTGCTCAAACCCGCTCAGACAAATCTCATTCCAAAACATACAACCACTTAATTTTTGTACACATAGATCAACAAAAAAAAACAACCAATCTTTTGTGATTCACTTCATCATGATCACAAGATTACACATAAATATCTAATCTGCGAAAGAAAAAGATCAATAAATGGCCTTGTTTAGTGAAACCAAGTTATACTTCAGTTCCAGTATTACATGCAGAACTAACAAGTAAGAAACTGATTAAAGCCCTAATTGAGCAGATCTCCATCCAACCGTTCAATTAATAAACTGAAAAGCCACTCTACAAAAAAACTCCACAAAAATCACCAACCACCGAAAAAAAAATTAAAAAAATTAAAAAAAAAGCAAAATATATTAAAGAAACACCGACATTAGCGCAGAAATAACAAAGACTTAGAAGACTAACAAGCGGATTAACGACAATGCTGTCCGCGTCGTTTTGAGGAGGGGGGTGGTGGTCGGGGGAGAATCGGTGATAATCTCCGGAAGGTGCAAAAGCTGGCTTCATGGAAGAGAAAGGGAGACGTGGCTTCTTGGATTGCATGAACGAGATTGATTAATTGGGGAGATCTGAGTGTTTGGCAAGTGAGAAAATAAAAGAAGCGGGAGAGAGAAAACGAGGGAAAAGAAGAGGAAGGGACGCAAGCAAGAAAGAAAGAAACGAAGGAGGGAATTTGGATGTGGAGGGAAGTGAGTGAAGCACCTCTAAATTGACAAAATTAATATTTACACATCACTCCTGTTTTGTACCCCTAATGTAAATAATAAATTGTTTTTTGTTTTTAAAAAATAATTTATATTTAGGCTATTAGCTTCGGTTCCGATTCGGCGCCAATCACACGGATCTTACTCCTTTAAACTTTGCCTGCATTTTTTCATTACTAATTCACTTTTGTTGTATTTTTTGTAACAATTTTTACCAAAAATATACATAAAAATAATCTTTTTTTTTAATTTTTATAAGGAATGAAAAAAAAAATATTCCTGGGAAGAGATTTGATATAAAAAAATTTATTTAATATTTTTTTTCTTTTTTAACGTATATCATGAGGGAAAAAAATAAATGAAAAATACTTCGGGTACATTATCAGGATTAGAGCTGGCAAAACAAAAAAAAAAAAAAAAAATCTGTTTACAAATTTTTTTTTAGAAATGACACTAAGTATGACCGGCCATACTTAATGTAGTTTGTAAACAAAAAATTTATAAATATAACATTCATATATATATATGGAGCAGGATCCTTTTTTGACACCGGTGTCAAATTTTGAAATTTGACACCAAATCCCAACAGTTGATTTTCGCCAATCAACGGTTATCATTTATTAAAATTAATAATTAATTAATAAGTGTAATTCTCAATAAATGATAACCGTTGATTGGCGGAAATCAACGGTTATGATTTGGTGTCAAATTTCAAAATTTGACACCGGTGTCAAAGGATCCTATCCCTCTATATATATATATATATATATATATATATATATATATATATATATATATATATATATATAGAGGTAGGATCCTTTGACACCGGTGTCAAATTTGAAATTTGACACCTTATCTGATAACCGTCAGATCAAAAAAGAACAATGGTTTCACATGCTTACAAATCAGAGTCGTTGATCTTTTTTGATCTAACGGCTACCAGATGAGGTGTCAAATTTTAAATTTGACACTGGTGTCAAAGGATCCTGCCTCATATATATATATATATATATATATATATATATATATATATATATATATATATATATATATATATATATATGCAGGATCATTTGACAACGGTGTCAAATTTAAAGTTTGACACCTGACCTGAGAGCCGTTAGATCAAAAAATATCAATGGTGTCACATGCTTACGAATCAGAGTCGTTGATATTTTTTGATCTAACAGCTCTCAGATGAGGTGTCAAACTTTAAATTTGACACTGGTGTCAAAGGATCCTGCCTTATATATATATATATATATATATATATATATATATATATATATATATATAATGAGAGAGAGAGGTAGGTAGGGATGTAAATAAGCTAAGCTTTGACTTAAAGAGACTAGGCCATGTGTAAAAAATATTGGGTCTAGCCTGTGTATGTCTCAAATTACAAGTCTGGTCTGACCTATATTTAAAAATTAAAGACTTGGCCTAGGCCTATTAGCTTATTTAAGCCTATTAAACATTCAATAATTAAAAGAATAACTAAAATACTATTACTTTATTATTCAAAATTATTAAAATAATAATTTTATTTATTTTATTTAAAATAAATAATATGATATAAGTCGGCCTGTAGGCTTATAGGCCCGACATGTACAAAAAAAAGCCTATGACCTATTTTTTTCTAAATATTTTTTTTAAATGTCTAAGTCTATTCTATTTTATTATTTGTAATAGGTCAAACCTAACCTAATATAGGCTTGGTCGTAGGCCCCTGTAGGTCGGTCTAGCCCATTTACACCCCTAGAGGTAGGATCTTTTAACACCAGTGTCAAATTTGAAGTTTGACACCTTATCTGATAGCCGTTAGATCAAAAAAGATCAATGGTGTCACATGCTTACAAATCAGAGTCGTTGATCTTTTTTTATCTAACGGCTATCAGATGAGGAGTCAAACTTCAAATTTGATACCGGTGTTAAAGGATCCTAGCCTATATATATATATATATATATATATATATATATATATATATATATATATATATATATGAAGTAAGATCCTTTGACACCTCATCTGAGAGCCGTTAGATAAAAAAACTCAACGATTCTGATTTGTAAGCATGTGATCCCATTGATCTTTTTTGATCTAACGACTATTAGATGAGGTGTCAAATTTGAAATTTGACACTGGTGTCAAAGGATCCTACCTATATAGAGAGAGATTAACTACATAAAATAAATAAACAAAGAGTTTGTTTTTTCTGATGTTACTTTAGATAACTTTATCTAATGTTCATCAAAACGACGTCGTTTTGGGACGGAAATCATGGTATTTTTGTAATTTTAATTCATTTCAAGGTTATAATAGTCTTTATCACTCTAATTTTTTAATTTTTCAACCCCGAAACGACATCGTTTCGATGAACATTAGATAAAGTTATCTAAAATAACATCGGAAACTTTTTCCCGTAAACAAATATTAAATATCATACATATAAAACACATGACGGAAACATGTGAAAATATCCCAACAAACAGTTACAATATTTATCTATAAATGTTTAGGTTGAGGATTACATGGTTAGTTGTTATCTAAAAAACAATGATTATTTAGTTAAAAGTTAACCAGAATATATTCAATTATGTTAAAATGCAATGATTGTTTTATTCAAAGAGCAATTTTCTCTCTCTCTATATATATGTATATATTACTGATCGAAAAAAGAAGAGAACAGAAACAAAAGAAAAAGTGAAAGAAAGAGGAGAACCGAGAGCAAAGAAAAAGAGAGATCAAAGAAAAGAAGGCAGTGCGGGGAAAGTGATGAAGAAGGTAATATCGAGAAATTTAAAACGTTGTCTCATTATTTTCTTTAGTTATATTATTACTTTGTTAATTTAGTCATACTATTACAATTTCTTTTCTATGTAACTTTGTTTTACCGCAAATTTATTATTTAATTTTAAATATTTTTTTTCTTTTGAAGAATAAATTATTTGGTACCAAAAAATGTAAAGAGAGTGTATAATTTTTAAGTGTATGATATTACTATGAACTGACCCACAAAGTTTAGGATCAGACTGTATAGGGTAAGAGACACCTTATTTTGGTTTGAGCTCCGCCAATCGGACTATTTCACATGCAGAGACTCATAAAATTGAAAATTTAATTAGCTTCAGTTAAATAGTACACAATTTATTATTTGTGATTATTTCTGATATTACTCATTTTTATGAAATTATTTGAGAGAATGGTTTCTTTCGTTATTACGGTTGAAATGGTTATGGTTAGAAAATCTCAATATTATTGAAATTTTTCTTATGTTTGTTTGTTTTGTGCTAATCTTTCCAAAAAAACCATATGCCTAGCTCTTTTTTTTTTTGAGAAGGATGGACTATGAATATTTATTTTATGATGGTCGCTGGGAATACTACATAATAGTTGGGAACCAAGGAGCTATAGCCATATTTCATACAGACAGTGTAGAAACATATACCTAGTGTTGGCAAAAATGAGTCAACCCGTCAGGTTGGGTTAGCCTAAATGAGCTGTCAAACCGAGTCAACCCGACCCAATTCAATCCGGACAAAAACGAGCCAACTCGCGGGTCTAACGGGTAAACTCGCGAGTTGGGTTTATTTTTTTATTTTTTTTAATTAAAAATTATAATATCACAAACATGATTCTTAACCTAACCTGATCCTTAACCTCTCCGCTTGTCGACTCAGCATCTCCCCCACAGCCCTCACCTTCTCCTCGTCGCTATTATGTTTTCTCCTCAAATGCAGTTTTTTGAGTTCCAAAACTCTCCATCCATACTGATATGATGCTTAACCTTTTTAATTTTTGGAATTATTTGTATTTATATTACTAACAAAACTTGACGGAAAAAAAGATAGGAAAAACAAAGAAGGAAAAAGAAGAAGGCAGGAATCTTGACGGAAATCTCAGGTACTCAGGTACTCCGCGTTGCTACATACTAGTGTTGGACTCTATAAGCTTTCGTTCTTATTTGATTTTGGAGACCCAAAACTCCACATGCAGGAAACAGAGATGGATTGAAAGAGAAAAACCCAGTGGCATTATTATGAGCTAATCCGCGAGCTTTTTTTCGAGCCAACCCGCGAGTTGATTTTCGAGACAACCCGTGAGCCAACCTTAACCCGACTCGAGTTGGGCTGGGTTGAGTTTCCTGACTCGTTTTTTTTTTCGAGCCAACTCTAACTCGGCTCGTTTTTTTCGGGTTGAACATGGGTTGAGTCGGGTCGAGCCGAATTGGCCCGTTTTGCCAACCCTACATATACCTATGGGCTAGATTAAAGTGAGAATTATGCACTATACCAATTTATAACCTTAAATAGTTAGGAATGTAATATATGTACAATACTAATGTAAATTAGTTTTAGGGAGTAAGCTTTATTGCAAAATATTTAGAATGTAATAGTCTTGTACTAATTCATGTCGATGAAAAAATAATGAAGGATGTTTATATAACTAGTTAATCTTCCTAAATTTATTTTTCTTTATATTTTTTATTATTAAAACATATTTTAACAAATAATATAATATTATCTATAATAGTTAGTCAGAGAGGATGTTACAATGTTGATGATTGATAATGGTTGTCATCTATGTAGCACCGATACGACACGCGACACGTGACACGACACGACACTCCGACACTTCAATCCTAAAAAATTATGGATTTCGACACGTTTTAATATTAAATAATATTTTTAATTTATATAGTGTATATTTCATTTAATATTTAATAATTTAACAAAAAAATGAAACTAAATTAATAATACCCATCAACACGTTATAAAGATGGAAGCTTTAATAAAAAAAATAAGAATTGGGGTGAGAGAGATATAATATCAGAT